TATCCTTATGGCCCTGGCCGATTTGGCTGATCGGTTAGAGCGTCGGCCTGCGGTCCAGAGAGACCGGGATTCGGTTCCCGCTAAAGGCATGTACCTCGGTTGCAGTTTGTCTCGGGCCCTGGTTGGGTCGTCCGGGTGGCAGCCACTCAATGTGTCCCTTTCACGTTGTTGTTTCTCTCTCTCTCTCTTCCTCTCTCTCCCTCCAGCTCTGTCTGAAGAAAAAATGGAAAAATGTCCTTGGGTGAGGATAAAAAAAAAAAAGAAAAAGAAAAATATCCTTATGTTTCTCATCTTCAGTAACTAATGTTTCATTCCTGATAACGATAGAGAAAATAAATTTGAGTACATTTTTAAAAAATGTTTTTATTGCTTTTTAGAGGGAGGAAGGGACAGATAGAAACATCAACATGAGAAAGAAACATCCATTGGCTGCCTCCTGTGCGCCCCCCACTGGGGATGGGGCTTTGTTCCCCAGGGAGACAGAACAAGGAAGCAGCAGCCAGGGTCTCATGGCACTTTCAGGCGGGGTGGGGGACAGGGGGCGCCAGTCTGAGGGGAGGCGTGACTGCTGAATGGATGCAGGCTTTCCTTTTGGGGTGACGAAATGTTCTGGAGCAAGATGGAGGTGGCAGCTGCACATTTTGAATGTACTAAATATCACTGGATTGCACACTTTTTAATGATTAAAATGGTCAATTTAATTGGTGTGGATTGTAGCACAGAAGGGGCGAGTGCTGTGCAGAAGAGCGGGCAGGGTGCTGCGGGAGGGGGGATGGAGCTCACAGGGACGGGCGGCGAAGAACTCAGCATGGAACTGGGAAACGAAGGCTGGAGGAACCAGCCCCTCGAGGGTTTGGGGGGAGCTGAGGAACGCAGAGGGGTGGAAATCAGGTTGGAGAGTGGGCAGAGGCCAGCGAAAGGCATCTGTATTTCCTCTGAGTGCAGCAGAAGCCATTGACGAAGGGAGACGCAGGAGCTAATTAGTGTGTTAAAAGGGCACTTTGGCTGCTGTGTGAAGAAAGGTTGTAGGGCTAAGTGTGAGGCAGGAACCATTAAGAGCATGGCTGCATTAGGAATGTCTGCGGGCAAGGGCTTCCATGCTTGGAATGGGAACACACTGAGGCTAGGAGGGATCAGGGCCCCAGGCAAGGTTGCCATAGTTACTGAAGGGTTCCCAGGAAACAGATAAGGCAGGTGTACAGCTAGGACTGTGTCCATAGCTTCATTCGGGCGTGGACCAGACCCATGTGAGGCATCAAAGCCTGGCAGGAGTAGCGAGGATGCTAAGGAGGGTGTCTCCCTCAGGCCCAGGTCCCAGCTGCTTCCGGAGCTGCACAGGCCAAGCCGGCAGGGGGGCATTGCTTAGGAGGTGAGAGCCACCCCGAACCCAGCTGTAGGGAATGGAGGCAGTGGGGCTGGACCCCAGTTCCACTTAGAGCATCCCGCAGGCTGGAGCAAAGGGCAGGCCGGGGGCCAGCACAGGAGGCACGCGGGATTCTAGCAGGAAACACAGAGGACAGCAAGCCAGCAGCTCCCGGGTGCAGGCCTGGTTCACAGTGCGGCCGCGCCAGCCACGTTAAAGGAGAAAATGGGAAAGAGAGTGGGGAAAGATGTCTGGTTCCCAGACAAAAGATGTCCAGACGAATGAGAAGGTGGTCACGGAGGAACCGATTTAACACTGACAGAAACTGCCAATCATGGAGGAGCTGACAGGCCCAGGTGGGGAAGCTTTCTGGGTCAGGACAGCAGTTTGAACACATGTGCCCTGAGTCCTGTGTCCCAGGCAACACCCCACTCAGCTCCAAGACACTGGGATAACTGAGCAAGCACAGAGGGGTCGGAGGTCATGAAGGCTGCAGGTCCCCATGGGCGTGGGTTCCTGTGCTGGTGAAGGAGCCCAGGAGGGAACCAGACCGCAAAGGTCCCAGCAGCGCTGGGGTGTGGCTGAAATCCAGCAGGACAGAATGTTACCTGTCTCCAGAGTCTCTCGCTAACAACACCGAGTCCTGTCAAACACCAAATGCTGTCGGAAATGTGACTACACAGCAAACACAATGGCAGATGAGAAGACAATGGGGTAGAACATCAAAAGATTCTCCCCAAATATGAGGTGAAGACAAAAGAGACAGGCCTGTGTCATCAGGGGAGTGACATGTCCAATCATAACTGTCATCTCTCACCCCAGCTTCTGTCTGTGCAGCCCCCAAATACGTGTTCCAGGATCAAGAAAACCCGAGTTTCTGTAAACTGGAATGACCCGTGTCACTCATGTTTGTGCCCACCCTCTCCAGGCACAAATGCAGAGTCACAGCAACGGGGTACACCTTGCCCCGCCCTGCCCTCCTGCACCTGAGCCCTACAGAGCGCCAGGCAAGGCCTTGTAGGAACTGGAAACATCCGCTGAAAAGAGAGGGTGGGATAAAGGCCGTGGGGACCAGCAGCACTGGGGCAATGGGCAGGAAGAGGCGAAACATCCTTCCAGGTTTACCAGGACTAAATTATGCTCAGGGATGTTGTGCTCAGGAATGCTGGCTCACAGCTTCCTTCAGGACAGACTTGGTGAGGAGGGGACAAAAACTGAGAAGGGGGTGCCTATGAAGGTAAGGAAGAGGACATATCCTGCTAAAGGCTGCTTTGCACCAAGCCTTGCTCCCGGCACACCAATGGCTGTGTTTCCTGTGATCTGCGAAGCTCTGTCCAGTTTACCAAAGTCAGCACTTAGTAACATTCGATAAGAGAATGAAGGAGGAAATGAATGAAGAAATGAGTGAATGAGTGCATAGATTATCTGTTGAACTTCATTCAAAAGTGAATGAAACACCCTGTCTGGTTTGGCTCAGTAGTTGGAGCATCAGCCCACGCACCGAAGAGTCACAGGTTCGATTTCTGGTCAAGGGCAGATGCCTGGGTTGCAAGTTCAATCCCCAGCCCCGTCGGGGTCATGTGGGAGACAACCATTCAATGTGACTCGTTCGTGTAGATGTCTCTCTCTCTTTCCCTCCCTTTCTTCCACTATCTCTAAAAATCAATGGAAAAAATATCCTCAGGTGAGCATTAATAAAAAAAGAAAAAGTGAATAAATAGAAAAACATCAGTCACTGGATCCAAGGTCAAAGTTACAGGATGAGTGTCCCAACTCCATGCCTTAGTATCTAGATGACTTTGGATGGACTGTGACACTTCTGTGAGCCATGGCTTCTCCTGAAATGGGGTCACGGGGCTATGGGAACACTTGGTGGGGGCAGGCAGCTGGTAAACATGACGCTCACTGCCAAGGTGGGAGATTGTTGAAAGCTTGCGCCACGACCGGAGGACAGGAAGCAGGCACTGTGCATCAGTGTCCCTGCAGGCTCTTCAGCCTCCGGGGCACAGCCAGCCCCCGAGCTCCCTTGTCTGCCCAGACAGTTCCACAGGCAGGAGTGAAGCAAAGAGCTGAGATCTGAAAGGGACCCTGACCTGGAATACCACATTCCTCAGCGTGTTTCCTCCTATTTTTCCATTCTTTATAAATCAGAAAATTAATTACCCAGAAAAGAGTCATCTGCATCAGAAACCCGAATGAGTTCAATGTATAATTTATACATGAAAATGCAGATGTCAATGTGTGACAAATCACCGTAAAAATATTTTTGCAGTTAAATTTTCAGGCATCTGTCTTCCTCCCAGAAGAACCACTGTGCAGCCGGTGAGGCCCCAGGGCCCGGTGGGACAGGGCTGGAAAGGCAGCCTGTCACTGTCATAGTGAGTGATCAGCCAGCCCACAGGCCCAGCCTCAGCACCGGCGTGTGCAGGCAAGTCATAGCTCTGCCCCCTGGGTCCTGCTGCATCTTGTTCAAAACGAGGGCTTAACACTCTGTGCCAGCTCTGAGCTGGACCCAGGGATGGAAGACAGAATGGAGTAAAGCCTGTGAGTCCCCTGGGGAAGCCAGGCAAGCAGATAACAAATGAGAACGACAATGTAGCAAGTGCTAGGGCAGGGGTGGGTCTGGCGTGCCAAGCAGCTGCAGAGAAGTAAGTGCTTCCCTGTGCCAGGAGCATCCCCAAAAGACTCCAGGGGAAGGGACCAGTCCGGAGGGAGTTTCTCAGAAGGGTGAAAGCAGGGGACATTCCAATGGGAAGAGCCACTCATGCAGACAGAGGCTGGAGCGAGCATGTTCGGGTGGGTGAGTGTGGCCTGTGTACACGGCAGGGACTGTCCAATGAGCCTGGAGTGGAGAGCAGGAGCCAGATACCCAAGGGGCTAGCACGCCCAGAACAGAAACAGGACTTCATCCCGGACTGAAGACTTTAAACAGATCAAGTCCCACTTCACTCTAGAGAGCAGATGGAGGCGAGAGGAAGCGTGTGGGGAGTGAAGGAGAGAGAAGAGGAATGGGCTCTGCACACTCTGAAGGCAGCACGCAGGGAGGGCCACCCCAGGATCCCGAGTCCCGTCCACACCCCTGCAGCCTGCCTGCTTCAGGGTGCACCGGCCCTTGGGCTTGACTGGCACATGACAACAGGTAAATCACCTGAAATGTAAGTTGGGTCCTTGCTTCTTGTCTTCATTTGCTACTGCCACTGGGGGCTGGTTGGTTACTCATGGTACAGGACATTCCCTGACACCCCCTCTCAGACGCCCATTGGCAGAGGGGAACAGTGCCCAGAGCTGGACCTAGCTGAGAACCATTGTGCCTCCCACATGGGGGAGCCAATGTCCCAGAACCAGTGATGAGTGTCAAGACTATGCTGCTTCTTCACCAGGCAATCACCAACGATGTCTAAGACAATCTGAAATCCCAATGGTGTCCTTCCAGAACTTGAGCTTCCCACAACAAGAAAAAGCAAGTCCCCCTTCCCCAACACCATCATGGTTCCCGGGGAGCCCCCTCTGCTGCCTTGGAGCCCTACAGACCTGGTCAAAAACTAAAGGCCCATGCTACTGGGACCAGATGCTCACAGAACAAGGGTTCCTAGCCTGGCATCAATAATGAGCTCCTTGGCAACTTCCTGGCACATACCTCGCTTGACCTTCGTGGGCCTGAGGCCCTCGGCCTGGGCCAGGGCCTCCCAAGCCTCGCGCTCCCGCCAGCGCCTCAGCTGCTCCTCGCGCATTTTGTAGAAGAGGATGTGTTTCTGCACATCACTGAGCTCAGCGAGGAGCTCAGGGTCGATGTACATGTCGTGCAGGATCTGCTGCAGCATGGTGCCACCTGGATGCCCACTCCAGAAGGGCAGCCAGACAGGGAGCCCACACAGGTGGCACACCCCAGGCTACTCCTCACTCCGGCTTCTCACTCCAGGGCCACTCCAAGAGCCCCTTCTCTGTGCAGCATCATCACTTTGCCTCAGCTCCCAGCAAGCGACAAACTCATCTCCGCTGCCCAGGACAGCAACAGGGGCTAGGCAGCAGGAAGCCAAGAGGCAGCCGGGACCGTACAAGGGGAAGCAGGCACCAGGAGCAATCGAGTCCTTCTGCCGGGTCAACAAGCACCGCATCACAGCAGCATCTATATCTTGGTTTCCCCTGGGGTTCAGGGACAATGGGGAGGGTCAAAGCCTCCAGCTCCTCAGGACAATGCCCCAGCACAGCCCTGCCTGGGCCACAGGTGTTGAGTGATCTGTTAGTGGAAGGTAATGATGACACCAGCTGTATCGATGACACTGCCCGGGCCAGCCAGGAACCGATCTCTCCTCCACAGGTAAGAGGAGGAGGAGGAGGCAGCTTTGCCTACTAATTCCACGTCTTTTGAGCCAGTTTCAAACAGGCCAGAGCAGCCAGCCAGCCTCAGCCAATCCCTCCACCTGCTCCTCATTTCCAACCTTCCTCTCCAGGACATTTGGCATCCTGAGGTAATGCTTTTAAAACTGCCTGAGGCGGGGAAAGAGCTTCCTTCTGTGCTATAGCCAAGAAGGAAAACAGAAATGAAATCAGGAGGGCCAACTGCAGGGGCTTTGTTGTGGAATTCAAGGACAGGAAGGCGCAGATATCTCCCCTCTCCCTAGAATGAGGTTCTGAAGCTATGCATGGGCTGATGGATTAACCCTCAATTTTGGTCATTGTCATTGATCTTTTTGTTGTTTGTTACAGGTGTCTGGAGATGACCTAAAAGAATGAAACGCATCTTCTTGGTGCCCGGAATCTGACCCACCCTGGACAGACCGGGATGTTGCTAGCTTCCAGGTGGGTAGGAGCTGCTGTTGCTGAGACTAAAGCCCAGCCTAGTCAGGTGCTCAGAGCTCCGCACAGCTGCCCTTATGTTCCGATAAGGAAATTGGGGTTCAGAGACGGGACTCGCCTACAGCAATTCAATCAATAAGTTGCCACATTGGGACTCTACCCAATTTTCAAATTTGACACCCACTGGTAACTAGAATCTTTTGATGGTTTAAAAATGTAACCCAACCAGGAGAAAACAAACAGGACTTGGCACTGTGGCCTGGTTGCTTTGGTGATCTTCATGTCCCCTTCTTCCCCATGAGCACCAAGGTGGATCAGTCACCCAAGAGTGATGGAATGCAGGTAACAGGAAGAAAAATTATGGGGGTTCAGATGAGCTTGAAGCCCACAGCATCAAAAAGAAGTGTGGAGGCTGCCCCGCCCCGAGGTCTGGCTGGCTTGTCCCAGAGCGACCCATGCTAGGCGCTTCCACACTCAGGCTCCTGCCAGGCGGCCTGTGGCCCGGACCCTGTCCCACCCGCCCTGTCCCCTGACCTCCACCTCACACTGCATCTATGCCCCGTCCTGGCCCCATCAGGTTCTTAGACCCAGAACCTTCTCCAGCCTCCTCTCGCCTCCCACGCAACCCTTTTCCGCCCTGCCCTCGCTGTGGCCGGGAGCCCGGGTCCAGAGAGGAGGCAGGGGAGAGAGGACGCGAAGAAGGCCGCGGCAGCGTCCTCCCTTCGGCCTGCATCGTCAGGCGCCTCCGCGAGGAAGAGGGCAGAGGGCACAGGGCACAGCAAGCGAGCGGGGGCGGGCGGTGCCGGGGGCGCCAGGCCCCGTCGGCGCAGGGGCGATGGTGTCATCCTTGTGGGGGCGACGCCGTTTGGACGGGGGCGGTGGCCAGACCGAAACGACCGCCGCGAGCACCCGCACTGTGCCCGGGGCGGGGCGCTTTCTGGCTGTACAGGTCAGTGCGGCAGGAGGCCAAGCGGCGGAGCGCAGCCTGGGCGCCGGCCGGGTCCCGGTTCCGGAGAGACCCGCGGGGGCGGGCGCGGCCCGGAGCCCCTCGGCCCGCGTGGCGCCATCTCCCGCCGGGGACCGCCTGCCAACCCGCCCTCCCTGGAGCAGCAGCCGCTGTCTGGCCTGGGGCGCCCCCTGGCGGCCTCGAAGAGAGGGACGCCTGTGCGTGGGGGACCTTGGCTAAGTGCCCCCGCATGCGCTGGGACGCGCGGGGACCCGAGGGGAGGGGGACCCCTTTCCAGCGGAGCGAGGGGGACACAGTGGCGGTTAATGGCCCGTACCCAGTGGCAGGGGCCACGCAGGAAAGGAGCCGGCAGCGGTTCCGTCGGGACAGTACCTGGTGACTGACAATGAGGCCAGGGACCCTGGGGTATTCAGATACAGATTGATTTCTGCTGCCTTTCAACTGGATTTATTTTGTTTTTATTTTTCATTGGCCAATGTGGTGTTTAATTTTGCGTGCTAACGAAATTTCTTCTGGGGCAGGGGTCCGCACACGAAATGTGCAAGCGGCTGGGAACCAAAGAAAGGCAGTCTGCTTGGCAGATACAGTGAAAAGGTGACATGCACAATATTGTACACAGTGTAAGGCAGTTTTTAAAATTTTGTGTTTATGTACACAGAAGAAAAAATATCGAAGAACACACGGTTTTTTGCTTTCTTCTGGGAAGGGGAGGAAGACCACTTTAGACAAGTCCATATTGTTTAATGCCATGGAGAAGATACCTATTCATATGACTGAAATGAAATGTATCTCAAAAGTCCTTTTTAAATGTGACTCCAAAAATTGGCCTCTGGAAGTTAGTGCTGGGGGGAGGCGCAGCCTTGTCCACACCAGTGCCCCTGCCCAGAGAGGGACCTTGCGGGCACAGCCAGACCCCGAGCCAGGGAGGCAGCCTGATAGGATATATACACTGTTCTTGTCACCAGAGGTTTCAGAGCTGGAGAAGGGCTGGGAGGCAGTTCTGTCTCGAAAGCTCTGCTGCTGGCTTGGAGAGGAGCTGGGAGAGCAGGAGGCAGGGAGAATTGTCAGCAAGCTCTGGCCCAAGCCCCCCACAGTGCGGGGGTGGGGGGGTGGGGGGGCAGGGATCTAGGGGGGCAGAAATGGGAGACAATCCTCATCCCAGCACCTCCTTTCAAGTTATCTCTGCTTCCACCTAAAATCCTTTTAGAACTTAGATCAGATCTCTGTTAAAACCTTGCAGTGGCTCCCATTTTATTGAGTCAAAGCCCAAGTCCTCACAAGGGCCCATGATCTGCCTCACTCCCCACCTCCTCAGATAGCCCCGCCCGCCACTCTCCCTCCATCACTGGCTCCATCCCACTGGCTCCTTGGCTTTCTGCCACACACCAGGCACCCTCCCTCCCCAGGGCCTTACACTGGCTGTTCCCTCGGCCTGGAACCCACGCGGCTCAATCACCTCCTTCAAGTCAAACTTGAGGTTCCTCTATACTCCCGATCCTCCTTTTTCTGCTCATTTTCCCCCTTAACACTGCCGTTAGAAGGTAACAAGCCCAGGGCACATGCTCCACTGACTCCCTCAGTGCCTAGAGGCTGCTTGGATGTGGCAGGTGCCAGATAAATACCGAATGGAAAAGAGGAGGAGGGAGGGAACTTCCACAGTGGAATTGATTAGAGCTGGTGCGTTCACTGGGGGGAAATCCAGAACAGGATTCTGAAGAGAGATCACTGGAGATGTGGACCTGGGAGTCAGGCAGATGGGCTGAATCTGTGGGACACAAGGTGGACTGGCCTAGGCTGCCAGCCATGGCTGAACTCTCACACCCTAAACACAGACTCCCTCAAAGACAGGGTCACATGCTGGCCGAGAAGCCCATCATCTGGGCCCTGGAAATGCCTGGGCACAGCACCACGTGAGGCCCCGCTGCAGGAAGCCTCTCCGTCCCGGTGCCACCTCCCCTGCTCACAGTCACTGGGGAAGCTGCTCTCCAGAGCACATGTGGGATCTCACCTGGTCTCAGTTTTGCAATCCAAGGGCTCAGTGAAAGTCTAGTGTAGTTTCTGCCTCGTCACCAGTTAAGCACTACAGAAAAATTATGGCCACGGAAATCGCTAGTGTCCCTGTACGAGTGCAATAATGACTTAGAAAATGTGAGGTGAGAAAGATCCCGTTCACAATAGCAGCCAGACAGATATGAAAAACTGGAAATGACTTTAACAATGTGGGCACCATGTGAAGGAAAGTAAAAATCTTCACTGGGAACACACCTAAAGGCCTAATGCTTTCAAGTCCTCGACTCATCTGAGTCCGTGAGCCTCCAAGAGAGTTCCAGGAGCCAGGCCTCCTGGTATCCGTGGCCTGTGTGGCCCCTCACCTGTCAGGGTTGGTCTGTGTGATCCATAGAACATGCCAGAAGTGAGGATCTGTCTGTCACCATTGTGATCAAGTGATAAAGGACATTTGGGCTTCCCCTTTGGGTTCTCTCCTCTCATCACTCACTCTGGGGAAACCATGTCATGAGGCCTCCTGCCAACAGTCACGAGAGAGGATGGCACAGGATTTGGCCAGGCAAGGCCGCAGCCCTGGCCAACAGTCTCCCTGAAACCCACAAGGGACTCTGAGCCAGCACCACCCAGCAAATATGTTCCCATAACCCTCAGAATATGTTTATGTTCTTTCATTGTTGTTGTTTTTGTTAGTCTTCACCTAAGGATATTTTTCCATTGATTTTAGAGAGAGTGGAAGGGAGGGAGGGAGGAAGTGGGGAGAGAGAAAAACATGGACGTGAGAAAGACACATTGATTGATTGCCTCCTGCATGAGCCCTGACAGGAGCTGGGGATTGAACCTGCAACCCAGGTACATGCCCTTGACTGGGAATCAAACCCATGACCCTTTCGGTGTTTATATATATATATATATATAGTTTTAAACTGCTAAACTTCTAGGTAATTCGTTAAGCAGTAATACATTACTAATAAAATTTCAAATTAACTTATACATTTAATACAATTTCAAGCCAAACCTGAAAATCAAATGGGAAGTGGGGAACAGGCTTGA